AAAGTAATGGAAGAACGTTGGGGATACGTGGCAGTGCATGGATTGTGAAGCAGAAGGGTAATCTCACTTTTTTGCCTATTTAAGGATGTGTCGTTTTCAGTTTTAGGGGTCGTATTTTGTTGCATTGAAAGAATAAACTCAAAATACCAGTGTTAGAGAAATGAGTCAAAACTCTGCAGAATGTATGCATGCGTCCACCTTTGTTTTCTTAATTAAGAAATTTTACTTTATAAGTTTTACTTTTCCTTTGTTTGTTGTTTTTCCTCTTTGCTATACTTTCCTTGTTATTTGATTTAAGCAACTGTTCATCTACCATCTATTCAAACCTAAAAAACAGAACTGAAACGCCAACATACATTTAACACATAATCCAGGATTCTTGTAGCCGATCCTGCACGTAAACTTCAATAAGAGACTAACGACTGTTCGCCGAAAATACCGTGCGAACACCTACTGTAAAAATAGAAAAAGGCATGTTGTGCTAAAGTACTTAGCAACTTTGTAAAAATAGATAAGTGAATATTTCATGTAATAAAACCATAATGTGTGCAATAAATGCAGTGACTTGACAAATGGAAAAGATGATAAAGTAATAAGAAAGTTGGATGAAGAAATTATGTTAAAAAGTTTCAGTGGATGTTTTGAGGAAATCAAATAAGTTTCATTCCAATCTATGTATTAGGATGTCACAAATGGGAAACAACTTGAACATCAACAAAAGATAGTGACATATGGAATTCTATCAGCTTAGCTACATAATATTAAAGTAAACAGGACTATCATCCTCACCAATGTTTATTACCATGAGGACCATTACAAAATATGTATAAACACATAAAAAGATAACCATAACATTGTGATCATTCTTTCTTCAGATGTTTTGCTTTTATGGAGGACATTTTTGGTGTGAAAAACTCAGCAGTAGACATGTCATCAAGGAAAGTTGTATCAGCAAGCCTCTTAGATGTAGTATTGGTTGAACATGTGCCTGGAATCCAACTTTGTTGATTTGATAAGGTTGGTTGAGCAGAGTGATTAAAAGAAAGAACTTGACAAAAAGAATAGGATTGAAGAATTGGATGATTCAATGCTTTTATAATGATATATGTTTTAAAACCTTATGGATAAACAAGGAAATGCAACAAACACAATGCGAGTTAATTGACAAAATTGAAGCAAAATAATATTGAAAAGCTTCATGAGATCTCAAGAATTTACACGTCCAGCTTCCTCAGTTTCTGCCAATGGTCGAAATGTACGATAGGTATGGTTTTTACGCCTCGCCCATAGCCAAAAGCGCTGGAAGTGAACTGGTATGCCAAGCTCTTTAGAAACCTTTTCCTACAAATCACACACTATCAATCTGACAGAAAAACCAAACGTAGAAATACAAATATAACACATATGTTAAATAATTATCACCAACTTCATAAATTAAATATAAATTACAATGTCGAACGCATTAAAAGTGCAAAGATCCATAGGACAAGTATTTTTTTCTCATTCCAACTACTTGGTTTTAATATTTTAGTATGTTTTTTAGAAACTGTTTTCTACGAGGATGCATTGAAAATAATGGCTTTCTCTTTAGCAATTAAAAAATACATGTTCCCAACTTCCACTACTCTTATTTTCTTTAGCAATTAAATAATGACTATAGCAATAACTTATAAGAACATATTCAGTTAGTTTATTAACAGATTTTATCGAGATAGCAAAGGACGAAACCATATTAAAGAATAATGTTCCGCTTACCTATCATGTAGCTGCAATATACATGGATCTAGAAGCACACAAATAGAGTGGCATTACTTCTGTTCAGGCCACTTAATTGAATTTGTAGATATCTTCATTTTTGATGCACTGGTTTTGTTTGAGGAGTCATGCCATATCATCTCCATTTTATATGATTTCATCTTTGTTTTCGTAATGCATTCGTTAAACTGATAATGGAACTATATATCATGCAAAAATAATATTTCAAACATGTAATAAGTATTATTTTGTCAAACAGTACTCCATCAAGGAAAATAAAGGAGTGTAAACTTCACTCCGATTAAAGTGTCGCAACAAAAATATTGTAGTATATTTGTAGAACCGCATGTCATAAAGGACACATGAGAAGTGATAACCTAGTACTGGTGAAATTAGAAACTAACTATGAATTTTTTCCAATATAATATGGCTCCATTATATTAAATCATCTCAGTTTGAATGCACAAACATTACCCCACATGGCCAAACCTGTAACAGTTTGCATAGTTTCCACCTTTAGGGGTGGTTAACAAACTGTTTAAAACCAAACCAAACTCACTTAGAACAATATTTGAACTACTCTATTGAACTGGTTTGTTTTTGTTAAGTTCTAATTTGATTGACTGCTAAAGAAAAGTGAAACAGATCACAAACTAACCAAACGAAACCCACATCCAAAATCGTGAGTGATTTAGATCAAAATTGAGAACTGACTCTTCTTTCTTCTTCATAGACAAAATTCTTTCTCAAATAAACTCCCCCAAAACATGGTTCAAAATGTAGATCTTTTCGGTCTAAGTTATCATAAGATAGAGATTTGAGAAACATGATTTTTCACAAACCATAAACTCGTTCATGTCCACAAAGCAATAAATAATTACATATATTAATAATAAAAGAAGGAAGAGAAAAAAAAGGAACAAACCATAGAAGAATAAATAATTACATATCTGGTATTTGGGCTAGGATCACCGCAATTGCTTCTCCTGGATAAACAAAACAGATTATCATCAGTGACATCAAAAACAAAATCACAAAAAGAATATCAAGCCTATACTTCAAACATGTAATTGTCAACAATGTTAAATATGAAACACATGATTATTATAATTGTCTCATCAGTAGAGATTTTTAACCTTGCATAACCAAAAATATGAACTTCATCGAATGGCAACAAATCATGAAAATTACAATATTTATGTTAGAGGGAACTTACTAAATCAAGAAAAGAATGATATTTCTATAAGTAACATCACCTCATCAATCAAGTCCAGTTGAATCCTATGCTTGGAAGCCCAAAGCGCAATTACAACACCAACAATTTTTTGAGCTGCAAAACACAGAATTTATGAATCATTTGTGAAAAAATGAAATAATATGAAAACCCCAAGTGTTCGAGCAGCTATACTTCCATACATCTCCAAAAGTTTCATCAAACAGTTGCTTCTCAATCCATAATGTACCTTCATTGTCAATCGTCTAATGCTAATGACGAGAAATAATGAATTTGTTTACAGACTGAAAAATCAACATCAACCTTCAAAGACTAACAACATCAACCTTCAAACATTAACAACATCAACCACATCAATGCAACATAAACTTGTATCAGATGAAAAATCAAAACAAATATGAGCAGAAAACTCAGCAGTAGAAGCAACAACAACAAATCAATCCATAAATCTTGAAAGTGTTGGTGAATTTCACTACAATTTATGTTAAAAGAAAAAAGGTTGAAGAAAAGAAGAAGAAGGAGGTTGGATATGAAAAATTAAAGAGTGGGTGTGAGAAAAAAAAATGAACAACAGAAGAGAGAGACAAACAGCCAGACATAGACAGACAAAGATAGAGACAGAATCATGTGACATCATCAATTGAACCAAATCTTGCAAACAAAGGCATAATACACTAAACATGTAGTTGGAAATAAACAATGTGATATGATTAGTTGCAAAAAGTAATTTTTGGACCAAAATTGCCCTCATTTCAGTGAGGTGGCAGATTTAGAGGAAAGAAGAATAGAGTTTTCCACACCATCTAATTTTCTTATATTATAGATTTTATTATTTACTATTTATCATTTTGCACCCCTACCAAAGTGTACCAAATAACTTTGTCCAAATAACTTTGTCCAAAATTTTTCGGTATGTATATCCCACGTAGAAAAAACCGTTGCCTAGTACTTTAGACAACAATTTTATCTACTTTAGGCCACAATTTTTTCTTATTACCTAAACTCAAGTTATTCGATGAAGAAAAATTACATATTAGAAAACTTGATTGAAAGTTATCAAGTGAAGAAAAATTACATATCAGAAATCTTGAATGCAAGTTATTTGGTGAAGAAAAAATACATACCATAAAATTTGTTTTCAAATTATTTGGTGAAGAAAACATACATACTAAAAAACTTGATTGCAAGTTATTTGAGAAAGAAAAATTATATATCAAAAAATTTTAGACAAAATTATTTGATACACTTTGGCAGGAGTGTGAAATGATAAATATTAAATAAAAAATTATTTGATATTGAAAATGATAGAATCGAAATATTTTAAAAAATATAGGGATAGAGGAATAATGGTAAGAATGTGAAGTAAAATTTTCTTTTAAAAAAAATCAGACCACAAAGATTAGAGTTGATTTGGTCGACAATAACACATTTTTATTTATTTTAGTTGTAAAATTCTTTTTTTTTTATTTTAGTTGTAAAAATTTTTTATATTAAATTTAAATTTTATAATATGTGAAACGATTGACTTTAATTCTTACATCCTAAATATTTAATCATATTTATTATAAATTAATTATGAAAGAATTACGATTAAAAAAAATCAAGATAATTTACAAACTTAAAAATAAAAAACAAAGAAAATAAGCGAAACACAAGTAGGGTTTTCACCAACAAAACAACACACCAAGGGTTTATACGAGAAACAGAAAACACAGTGCGGCCACACTTGGTCTCGACGCCGGAATCAGCAATAAACTCCAGGTTCTTCTTTTCGATTTTTCTCTTTTCTATTTCCCTCTCCTAGTTCTGATCTGCAACACGCATAGGATTCAATAATCTTATTAACTATTTTTTTGTTTTGATAGTTTCAATTTTAACCTAAAATTATTATCTTTCTTTCATAGGTTGATAAGTAACAATGGTGCAATAATCTTATTACCTGTTTTTTGTTTTGATAGTTTCAATTTTAACCTAAAATCATTATCTTTCTTTCATAGGTTGATAGTTAACAATGGTGCAATATAATTTCAAGAAGATAACAGTGGTACCAAATGGGAAAGATTTCATTGACATCATTCTCTCTAGAACACAGCGTCAAACACCTACTGTTGTCCACAAAGGCTATGCAATTAATCGTCTTCGACAGTTTTATATGCGAAAAGTCAAGTATACTCAGACTAATTTTCATGAAAAGTTGTCCACTATAATCGACGAGTTTCCTCGTCTCGGCGATATTCATCCTTTTTACGGTGATTTGCTTCATGTCTTGTATAACAAGGATCATTACAAGCTTGCTCTTGGTCAGATCAATACTGCTCGGAATCTCATTGGTAAGATTGCTAAAGATTATGTTAAGTTGTTGAAGTATGGTGATTCGTTGTACCGTTGTAAGTGTTTGAAGGTTGCTGCTCTTGGTCGTATGTGTACTGTGGTTAAGAGGATTGGGCCGAGTTTGGCTTATTTGGAACAGGTTAGGCAGCATATGGCCAGGCTTCCTTCAATTGATCCGAATACGAGGACGATTTTGATTTGTGGGTATCCGAATGTTGGTAAGAGCTCTTTTATTAATAAGATTACTAGAGCGGATGTTGATGTGCAGCCGTATGCTTTTACAACTAAGTCTCTTTTTGTGGGGCATACGGATTATAAGTATCTGAGGTATCAAGTGATTGATACGCCAGGGATTTTGGATAGGCCGTTTGAGGATAGGAATATCATTGAGATGTGCAGTATCACTGCTCTTGCACATTTGAGAGCGGCGATATTGTTTTTCTTGGACATATCCGGGTCTTGTGGTTACACCATTGCTCAGCAAGCGGCTTTGTTTCAGAGCATTAAGTCTTTGTTCTTGAACAAGCCTCTGATTGTTGTGTGCAACAAGACTGATTTGCAGCCGTTGGATGGATTATCTGAGGAAGATATGAAGTTGGTGACGGAGATGAAAGCTGAAGCGTTGAAGACTGCAATTGGTCAAGGAGGCGAGGGGACGGAAGCGGATGTGTTGTTGACCATGAGTGCGTTGACAGAAGAAGGCGTGATCGCGGTGAAAAATGCAGCTTGTGAGAGGTTGCTGAATCAGAGGGTGGAGATAAAGATGAAGTCTAAGAAAATCAATGACTGTCTGAACAGGTTTCATGTTGCAGTTCCGAAGGCACGTGACCAGAAGGAAAGGCCTGTGTGTATTCCCCCGGCAGTCTTGGAAGCTAAAGCTAAGCAAGCAGCTGCTGAGGAGAAGAGAAAAACAGAGAAGGATCTGGAGGAAGAAAATGGAGGGGCTGGTGTGTACTCTATGAACTTGAGAAAGCATTATATTCTGGCCGATGATGAATGGAAAGAAGATATACTGCCAGAAATTTTGGATGGCCACAATGTGTATGATTTCATTGATCCGGATATTCTACACAGGGTCGAAGAGCTGGAAAGAGAAGAAGGACTAAGGCAGGCAGAAGCTGAAGATGATGATTTTGAGATCGACGGAACTGAATTGACGCCAGAACAGCAAGAGGCGTTAACTGAGATTAGAAGGAAGAAAAGCTTGCTAATCCAACAACATAGGATTAAAAAGAGCACTGCCGAGAGCAGACCAATCGTCGCAAGGAAATTCGACAAGGACAATCAGTTCACAACAGAAAGAATGGGAAGACAGCTGTCTTCTCTCGGGATTGATCCTTCTCTGGCTGTTAACAGAATGCGTAGCAGATCTGCATCTAGGAAGGGTCGGAAAAGGGAGAGATCACCAGAAGGAAGAAATGATGGGATGGATATTGACGATGACACTCCTAGCAAGAAGCAGCGTACGAGTCGATCAATGTCACGTTCCAGGTCGGTCTCTCGGCCCCCGCATGAAGTTGTGCCTGGAGAAGGCCTCAGGGATTCTGCTCAAAAGATCAAGGCAATTGGTCTTGCAAGGAAATCCGTCAAGAAGAGAAACAAGAATGCCAAGCGGGGAGAAGCCGATAGAGTCATACCTAATCTTAAACCAAAGCACTTGTATGCTGGAAAACGCCCCAAAGGAAAGACAGACAGACGTTAAAATCGGTAATAATATATTTCTTAATATATTTCTATGCAACTTGAATTACTTATCATGTAGCATCTCGACACACCAAAATTTCATTAGGTAATAATATATTTCTACAAGTTTTGTTGCTACAAGTTCAATTTCTGCATATTGTTTCTTATAAGATAATATTTTTGGCGCTAAAAATAATTGTTTTCTTTGCAGGTGATAATGATAATGGTGTTGACTGCAGAGAAGTTTTTCTTATACAATTTTGTCTTTTCTATTATTATTTATGAATGTGTTTTTACTTTTTAGACCAGTTTTGGATTTACTGTTTGAATTTTGAGTTGTTTGTGTACTCAAATATTAAGCATTTGTTTCACATTGTTATTTGAATTTTGAGTTGTTTATGTACTCACATTTTGAGTTGTTTATTGTCCTATTTTGAGTTGTTTTTATGTTGTTCCATTGGAAAACTGTTTTCATTTTCTTAGTTTTGCAAAACACCCCTCTGAGAATTTGTAAGTTTTCATTAATGACATAGTGGTAGTAATAATTTGCAAATCTGATTAAAATTTTAAATCACAATAATAGATCTTGTTGACTTGGGGAATAATAAATGAACACTATTTCTGTGTTACTGTCATGTTTGCTTGCCTATGCATCTCTTATACTATTTCTTATTGAGACATTTTTTTACTTTTAATTTAACTTAAAATAACCTTTCCTTCATCCTTATAATTTTTAAGATCAATTGACCTCCTTTTTTTTCTCTTAATTACTTTCTAAAGAAATTTTATTTAAAATTTTACCATTTCTTACACAATCAAATGTAGATATAATTTTTATATATACATTTCTTACACTAAAAAATTGCTCTTTCCTTCCATCTCTTTCACATTTCTTAATGAACTAGAAAAAATTATATTATTCTTGAAAATTTAGATCTAGCATCAGATCACGACCACCTAAAAATTTAGATCTAGCATCAGATCACAACCACCTAAAGAAACCTCAAACATTGGATTACTAGGGAGGACCACTTCCTACTCTCTACTCGCTAAAAGCGCTAAAAGAGAGAGATTCCAACCACTTAAAATTTTATACCACACTGGTGATGCTATTTCTACCATAATAATTTATAAGTATAAAAACTAATATTTTATATTTATGAAGAAAGTTTAAATTTGTCTTTTTTAAATATTATTTTACATTTATGAAGAAAGTTTAAATTTTTGTCTTTTTTAAATATGATTTATGAGATGGAAAAACAATTTTAATTAGTTGTTGTTTATGGAAAAAATGAGAGACAAATCAAATTAAATGCAATTTATATTTAATTTTACTTTGAAAAAATATATTTTTTAGAATAAAATGTTTAAATGTAATAAAGTTGGTGTTTTTTTACTTATAACTTGTAATAAGAAAATTTGGTATTTTTTGCTTATAAATCATTACGGGGGAAGTATCTCACAAGGAAAAGATAAAAAAGGAACTCTATCACCCCTTACACATAGGGTAGGAACTCCCATCTAGATGAATCAAAGTCTTACAAATAAACAAATTTTCTCTTGTAGAGATTTTGTCTTGCAGAAGTTATCAAGAAAAAAACCACCACTTTAGATGGGGTCTAATAAACCCAAATGTTTGGAAGGGTTGACTCCTTAAAGGTGGAGGAAGAAGTCGCAGAGGTAGATAGCTCCAACTGGGTAGGAAAAGCGTATGCTACCCCATCCCTAGCAAGCATTCAAAATCAATTATCTCTATCCAAGAGAGGGTTGTTGTAGTATTTATTTATCCAATGTCACCGGTGTGATTTGATGGGCTTAGCATCCCAACCCATGATGCTTACGATGTGTTAGGCGCAACACGTTGATGGCTTTTTGCTATAAGAAAATATAATTGCGCCCTGACTAATAGCAATTGCTTTTAGCGCAGTGGTAAGTGTTTGATCTAAAAATTGATGTCAGAGCATGGTTATGGGTTCGAATTCCCCCGACTATCACTAGGGGAAGATTGTTGGATTTATTTATCCAGCGTCACCGGTGCGATTTGATGGGTTAATATCTCAACTCACGACGTCTACGATGTGTTAGGAGCAGCCTATTGAGGGCTCTTTGCTATAAGAAAATATAGGTGTGCCCTCACTAACAACAATTATGTTTAGCGCAGTGGTAGGCGCTTGATCCAAAATGTGTTTTCTGGATAACATAAAGAACGTTTGCAATCCACGCCAACTCATAAACAAAGAAAGTTCTCATTCACCTCAGATCCTAAACCAAAACACCATCCATCGTCAAACTAATCTCACCTACTAACCACTCATTTTTCTCATATATATTAAAGATTCTAGGGAACGTATCCTTAAAAGGTGTATCCTTAACTCACTGGTTAACTCAAAAAGAGGCGTGGATATCATAATCAATTCTTTTATTGATACTTTCTATAAACCAACTGGATGAGTAATCTATTTTAAATAAAAGAAGAGACACTCATTTTCACCAAGAGGACGCAGACCATGAACCATAAGACTGACCTCGCGCCACCCTACCCGAAAAAAAGGATGAAATGTCACATGCCTCATATCTAGCCAACAAGATCTCAAACCAAGGGTCGGTAGCATCAGAGAGGAACTTTTACCTCCATTTGGCTAACAAGGCCAAATCAACCAAACAAAGTTCATGGACTCTCAAACCACCTTCTTGATTAAGCTTGCAAACATCAAACTATTTAATCTAAGAAAATAAGAAAACATAAGAAAATAACAGGAATATCATTAGGTATCGAGTGTATCCTAGTGTATCCAAAAATAAAGGAACGACATTAAACCATGTAAGGTTACTCTTTGAAAAGTTAACCTGAGGTTCTCAGCAAGCTCAACACTCTTGAGGATAGCTTTAATAAGCCAAAGATTCTCAATCGAGGACTCGACCAAGATTAAGGTGTCATTTACATACTAAATGTTAGAGGCCACCAGCCCCGAGGAGTCCACCTTAAAACCAGAGAAATTATCCAGTTTTATAACCCTTATTAATGTTGGTGTCTTGAGTGGGGCGTCATTAACCAAAATTGCTAGGTTCCCTGAAAAAACACAAGCACGCATCCAAGATCCTCATTTACCATTAAATTTTAATTTGGTAAGTATAATCTAGAAAACTTTAGCTAATTGAATCACACACTTTCTCAAAATTCATCTTAAAAATGAGACATGAATTTGGGATTTTCTTTGCTAACTCATTCACAACTATCACACTGTCCACCAATAGCCTCCCTTTAAGGAAAGTTGACTGATTATGGGAAAATCAAGTTATCCATCACCTTACAAAGTCAAGCCGCCAACACCTTAACAACTGCTTATACAAGGATCCCACCAGAGAGATAAACTAGAAGTCATCCAATTGAGTCAGGAACTCAACCTTAAGGATCAAAATCACAAAAGAAGAAAAACTTTGAGGAAGAGAGGCAGAGCAATAGAAACGACCAATCACACTCCCTAAGTCATCCCTAAGCAAATACCAAAACCTTCTCAAAAAAGAGAAGTTAAAGTCAACAAAACCATGGATCTTAACATGTCCCTTCTTAAGCCATCAAATTTTAGATCTCTAAATCATTTAGGAATATTTGATTTTTAACAAAGACCAAAATTCAGCGATGACTCCAGTTTTATCCCTAATCTCAACCTCTAGAAAACACTCCTTATTAAGTATAGAATCCAAATTACGTACAACATCTCTCAAGGATTCAATTTGAAAATCAAGATTATCAAACACTTTCATTATTCCACATTTTAAATGCTATTTTATGAAATCTAAATTTCTTTTTAAGAACAAAATCTTTCCATTCAAAATCCATAGAGAGAGAGAGAGACCGACTAAAATGGACTACCACTATCAAATTGGAGTGTGGTAGTCAATGATTGTTGAATCTAAACGGCCTAAGGCTCCACAACTAATTGATATACTTAAGAATAATCGAACAATAATTAGAGGCGTTTTAAAGTAAGACCAGCTGAAAAACCACCTCACCAATCCTATTAACCATCAAACACAATAATCTAATCAAGTCTACTCTCCAGCCTACCGTTATTTTCTCATTTCTATATCAATTTTAAAAAGTAAAATTATCATACAAGTTTTCTAAAATTCTGTTCTTAAATAGAGTTTTGTAAAACGGAATTATAAAATAGATTTTAAAAAATAAAAACGAAAACTCATTCAAAACATTCTCATATTTTATAACATATAAAAAGATATTTTGTATTTTAAAAACAATATCTTATACGAGTATTTTTTTTTAGTTTTTTTTAAATTTATACTGGATTTTACTTAAGGGTACAAATTTGGTTTGTGAGACAAAATGCACCACTTTCTGAAAACCATTTTAATCAGCTTGTGAGGTAAAAATGCACCACTTTTTATAAACGATCTTCATGCTTTATTTTAATATATGTTGAATTAGGATTTTTCTCAATAGATGGAGTTAAAGCAACAAATTATCTCTAAAACGGATTTGCGTGCAAACTTCTCTTCAAATGCTTTTTAACATCAACTTTAACAAAAGTTAATTAAAATAACTTTATTTTCAACACCTTTTTAGGAAAATCATTTTTTTTTTTTTTTTTGATTTTCAGAATCGTGCACACATAAATTTCAACCTCCTTACAGCTGAACTATAAAACATTAAAGATAAAACTCAGACAAATCTAAAGCCAATAAGATTTATTTAAAAATTCATTTTATCTTGTAGTGTCTTAAAATCGTAATAAGGTATTCAAATCAAAATAAGTTAAAATTTGAAAGTTGCAAAGGCATATTAAGTCCTTTTTTGGATGATACACCAACTGATTTGGATAGAAAAAGAAGACCCATAAATGAAAAAGAAAGAAAAAACAGTAACATGGCCACAGGGTCAAACAAATATATATATTTTTTGTTTACTTGTATCATCACGCACACGAAACAATCCCTATATCTCAGCAAGATTCTTTATACAACATTCCCCAAGTCATAAATACAAATCATATTTAGCAAGGGAGACTATCAATATATATTTTGCTCAGACACACATAGCATTAAATCCTTCTTGAAGACATGAAAGGAGTCATTCTTCAGAGACTAATGTCTCTAATCTCCAATGAACTGTTACTGTGCCCACTGACATCATACACAGCTTAGAGACATGGCCATCACAAATTGGTTGCAAGACGCTACTAACCTTTCCGTTCCCTCAGCCCCTTCGGCTAAATTAGGTGTTAGTACCCATTATCTGGATCTGTAAAAAAAGATATAGCATGGTTACTTAAAAGAAAATACTAAATATTTTAAGAAGAGGTGTAAAAAAGATAGCTAGAGCTACTAAGTAGCAAAAGATCTTGCGCAAAGTACCTTATTCACAAGTAGGTTGACTTGTTCTCTGTACATTTCCTTTAAATCGACAATATCAGCACGAAGTTCTTCCAGCTAAACACATTCAACTTTGTTTAGATATAAAGTACATAACTTTTCTAGTTATAACTAATTAGAAAGCAGATAGAAAAGTGGCTATATTTTTGAGTCCGAGGCTTTTGCATAACGAACTAATTTAACCCAAAAAAATCACTCAAAGGTATTATTTTATTCCCATGGAAATAGAACACAACTGACAATAACTATTCACTTCCCTCTCTTTACTTGTTCTATTTTAATATTTGAAATTTCAAACTAAATAAGTTTTTTAAAAATTCGTAGGAATATCAAACACTTGCCAAACACATTTGTGAGAATAATATCCCTAATAGTAATAAATTTCTAGGAACATCATTCCCCTATGTATAATTTTATGCCTTGAAACAAGCACCCTCTAAAATATATTGTTTTTAAATAGCAAATTAGGCAAAGTAAAAGTTACCTCTTCATCACCCCCTAAAATATTGTTTTTAAATAGCAAACTAGGCAAAGTAAAAATTACCTCTTCATCACGTTCACCCATCAACTCCAAAGCAGCCGAGTGCCTCCTCCTCAGTGCTTCTAGCTCTGATTTTAAGCCAGGGAGCACAGCAACCTCTCCACGCAGCTTTTCACACTGCAGTGTGAGTATGCGAATCGTGGTTATTGGTTAACAAGGAACAGACCAGACGATAATTGTTATAGTTATTATAATGAGTTACAAGTGTTTAGTCTTGAGTACCTGGGATTGGCCTACATCATTCTTATTTACTACTCTTTACCTAGTAACTAGTAATATAGATAAGGGTCCCTACACACTCTAGTGTATCCCATTTTAGTACTCTCATGTCTTCTCTCTCCCGTTCTACAGTAATATACAGGAAGCTGAACTTACCTGTGCTGTCAATTTGACCAACTCTTCAGCAAGAGAGTCACGAATAGATTCCAATGATGCCTGGAATTTTTATAATAAAAAAAATGTCATCATTGTACCCCAAAAATAAAAGTGACATTAACATCAACATCAACATCATATGATTTAATAGCTTAGTACAAATTCAATTTTTTAAAGATTATGAAATGTTCTCAACGACAAGAAAAATCGGGGCTATGAACTGGAAGGCATGATGCCAAATATTAAACTAGAGAATTAAGGCAGGAAATCATACCAGGCGTGACATATATGAAGCAAGTTCACCCTCTTTCTGACGAAGTGCAGCCTCAAAAGAACTGGGTGTCATGCTCTTCATATAGTAAGGACTCATGCTTAGTTCTCCCGGGTTTCTCCGTTCAGAAGAAGAACTGTCAGATGAATCCAGTGATGCTTGAAGAAAATAGCTTTCTTCCAAGCTTCCTACAGAGCTTGCACTAGAGATTTTTCGGGCCAGATTCCCTACATCATAAAGTATATTATAAAAGAAATATGACAGACAAGACAACTGAGCCAAGTGATGTAAAGACAAAAGTATCACACCATTCTCAAAAGCAGAGTTATGCTTTGTTTTGGAAGTTTGATCTGATGATGGAACAGAATTAACGCGAACGGTCCTCTCCAGATCTGATCGGGCGGCCTTTTCTTTTTCTATTTCCTGGCAAAAAATGAAAAACAATAATCCCAAAGGTTCTTATAAGATGGATGGAATTTATCATTGTTACCAACAATACCAAATCCCATCAATTTTGTTTTTATTTTCATATTCAGTTTCATTCCATAGCTTTCTCAAATAGCCCTACATCATGCACTAATATTTGTTTTATCTCAAGCATCCACACAATTTCTCGAAAGGTCCTTAAATAGGAAAGTTGTCTTTCTTTTGTTACATTTTCAAAAAATTCATCAGCATGAAATCAAATATACATCTTTCGCTGGTTCATTTAATGACTCAAGTAGCGTAAGAATTGAAAGATAAGAGAAATTTAATGAAGAAATCAAGAGCTTCATATAAGAAGGATACATCACTTGACATAGCAAGTTTGAAACCATGAGTAGAAACTCTACCTGCTGAAGAACCTCCCTGTGCATCAATGCCTCGTGCAACTCATGCTTGTGTTTCTGTCTTAGGTCTCTAATCTCTTCCTCAAGCTGTCTCGCACGACCTTCTTGAGTGTCAGCTTCCTCCTTTGCCGCAAGATATTCCTGCCTACTTTCAGCTGCCCTTTGTCTCTCCTTTTCCAGGGTCCTACTTAATTGAGTTTGTTCGGCCCTAAGACATGAAATCTGAAATTCATTATTGAAGTTAGTCACATGTACAGAAAATTACATTAAAGACATGATTTCACTAAAAAAATTGCAGAACCTGAGCCTCGAGAACATTAATTCGAGACAGGGTTTGAGACAGGCGATCATTCATAGATCGCTCTTTTTCCTCAGCAGTTGCAACTTTAGCCTCGGCTTCCTGTAGAGTACATTGAAAAATATAAAGAAATACAATACGTAGTAGGAAAGATTCTAAAATTAAAGATAAAAAGTATTCTTAAAACCTGAAGTCGAGAGTTAAGACTTCTTTCAACAGCAGCCCAAGCTTCAGCTCTTCTGGCATTTGTTTCCTGTTATCAGGTAGGTGAATTATAGTCTAGCACAGATCTCACTCAGCCGAACAAAGAACAGAAGGAAAGGTAATTCTTAATCATGTGATTATTACCTGCATGGCTTCAATTTGCCTTAAAAGCGGCCTTGTAGATTCTGGAACTTGAGTAATCAGTTCCTCACACCGTCTTTCACTTGCCTAGCAAAATCAAGTCAAATAAGAAAACTACCAAAAGCACAACCACGATGCAAAACTTTAATAAAACAAAGAAAAGCAGCATCCACAAAAAGTAAAATAACTTTTTTTCCAGTTAAATAACTGAAAGATAAGCAGAGAGCAGACCTGATAACGTTTTTGAAGATCCTCGATGTCTCTACAAAGCATGTCTTCTTTGAAGACAGCCTGAATAGAGATGAAGGAAAAACTTGAATTAAAAGCAATATCCTGAGAAAGTCAATTTAGTAAAACAAAAGACAGAAAAAACAACAAAAACCTGTTGTTCCTTTCTACTTAATGTTTGTCTCAGCTCTTCGAGTGCCTGGACTAGCATAGATTCACGTTCCTCGGCTTCTCTTAGACGACTCTCTAGCTCAGTTCTTGCTTCACTGTTGGCTCGAGCCTCTGCAAATGCTTCAGCCTCCTTAGCAGCAGCTAAAGCATTTGTGTAATATTCCTTCTGCACTGCAATTTCATTTTGATGTTTTTCTATAGTTTCTTGCAGCAACTTCTCTGTAGCTGTCTTGTCCCTCTTGATACTTTCTACCTTATTCTCCTCTACCTGGTTTACAAGACATTAACCAAATGGCATCTTAAATTAGAAATCCAAATAAATATTAGGATTGTTGACAACTACTGCTTTAAAAAGGAATTTGATGTTTTCCAATGACATAGAGGACCACAGTAGAACACAAGAATAAATCATAAATTATACTCAAGACTTAAAAGTAATATGACATGTATATAATTGCAATCAGTAAGATGAGAATTTTACAGTCAATCTAAACCACAGAAAATATTTTGCAACAGAATAATAACTTTCAAAAAAGTAGCGAGCAAATAATAACTTTCAATAATGCTCTCGGTATTCAGTTACCTGAAGCTTAGTTGTCAAACCTTTTTTCTCCTCCTCAAGATCTCTAATCTAGCTTTCATGAAAAAAGGTAAATATAAGATTTATTATTTACGTATAGAAAAGAATTTAAGATTGTAGGAAGATTAAATAAGTACTCTGCATACCTGAGCCCTAAGTTTCCTCATTGTAGATTCTTGAGTGGCCTGCTTTTTGGAAAGCTCTTCACCTGAGATGATAGAAAAATTTATATGAAAAAAGGGCCTCTATAATTGCTGGTAATTAACCTGTTGGCATGCTTCAATGGAGAAAGTTTTTGATTTAACAGAAATGCTGTTCAAATGAAATCATTCATTTCGAAAGCAGAGTGGAGACAGTGACTATTAGAAATCTGAATCCATACTAGAGAGAATTCATATTAGAGTGTATAGTTTGTTACACGAGATATTATCCACTACAAGTAGTGTATACTAAGCTACTGTACTGTGAACTGAGTGTAACTGTGTAATCACTCCTTTAATAGTCCCCCGTAAGCTAAGTTGGGTGAGAGGTGGAAGCATCACACACAAATAGCCTAGAGTGCAAGGCAGTGTTACAGTTTTTGTCCTTTCAGACTTTGGTGACATATATCTAAAAGAAACGGTTAAGAGTCCCACATTGGATAATATATGGCCTGAGCATGTGTTTATAAGTGGGGTGAGCAAGGGTCGGGTCGGGAAGGGTTATGACTAACCCTAACCATGTCCTAAATTTTGAGCGGGTTATTTTAATGACCCTAACTCGTACCTAAACCCGAAAAAAATCCGATAATATGTAAGTTAGTTTAGACCGGGTTAATGTAAGATGATATCGGGTTGACCCGAAATATATGGAGAAAAAAAATTTAGTGACTTAAGAAATTTATTATAGTATTTTAAAAAATTCATTTAAATGAAAAATATGAATAAAATCATTAGCATGAATGAAAAACAATAAAGACATCTAAAGTCAATTCTTTAAAATCAAAAACATGATGCAATTTTATATATGTCATCACCCTTTTATTTTCTCTAAAACATGATGTAAGAGAACTAAAGAAGTCTGAAAGTTGAGAAGTGAGAAGATGTGTACCAAGTACTTACTGAGTGCATATATTAAATTATGAGATGGGAAGTGAAAAAGTGTATTGGAAATTCGGAATAATCTAAATGTACAAATAAATTAAATAAATAAATAGTACCACATGTGCATTCATAATATTAGGACGGGTTGGGTAACCCGAGGGTCAACCTGAACCCGTCCAAATTTGATACCGGGTTCATTTTTAGAGAGTCCTTTTTTCCATTTTTTGCATGAGACAGGAAAAGACTAACCCGAAACTATTGGGTTGGTACAGGTCTTCGGGTTGGGTTGGGTTCTGCACACCCCTAGTTTATAAGTGGGGGCAATCCTCACCCTACCAACCGGTTTTGTAGGATTGAGTTAGGCTCAATCACATTTCTTAACAGAAACATTCATATCTTTAATCCTAACAAAACACGTCAAACAAGAAATAAACTGCTATATACCCACTAAAGTCGGGATAATACAGATTTAGGTTTGATTTCAGATTGTGTTACCTTCTGCCATAACTTGATTAATTATTTCATCCTTTTCCTTTAATAGAGCAGCTGCGTCACTTTTTTTATTCTGCTCTCTTCGAAGTGTATCCCTTTCCTTGGTGAGAGCATAAACCTGCAATAAAACGCAAAATGTATGGGGTTTCATAACAGTTTTATTTAAAAGTATACACTTAAAACATATTTGTAATATCCAATAATCCTGTTTGATAAATCACAATTTTCAAAATTCAAGATGGACTTCTAACACCAACCTGCAATGCTTAAGATGCTTATTATGATCTCTATAATTGAATTATCATAATTTTTTTTTGCTAATAAGATTTCTGGCATGTGTGACACGATATATTGTTTGCTATGGCAAAAATTCCAATCATAACTTTGACAAACAGATTCAAAATGCTATACACAACTTTTGAAGAAATCATTTTGTGTTGCATTATTGAAAACTTTGTTGATTAAAAACAGGAAACATAAGATTTATGGCAAGTGATACCTTTCTCTCAAGAGTCGAAACCCTCTGATGGTATTCCTCTCGCAAAGACTCAACTTCAGCTTCATTGGACTTTCTCTGCTCCACAATTATCAATAATTAAATTAAAATACTTTGAAGAAAGTGGGCCACATGATACATTGACAAAAGGAGAAACGGAACATGCTTCCTAATTATTTTACAAAAACACCAAAGGATTTTCAAATATTTACAAAGGAAAACTAATACACAGTGTACAAGGAAAAAATCCAAAACATTACAAAAAAATAGTCAGTGTGACAACAAGGATAATATCTAAAAAATACTTAAAGAAAAACCATTTTCAATAAATGTTCTATACCACCAGAACTGTTAGGCTGAATCAAGAAGATAAAGCTAAGAAAAACCTAAAATTGATAATTTTTTTAAAAATACCTATTGCTGCATATATCATCAACATCAACATATAAACATCCTTCAGCTAATATTTTGCAAAGCAGTGGCTAATATATCTTGTGTGTTTTCATACATAACCCATTAGTTGTTTCCATAGTGCTAGAATATGCTGGAAAAGATTTGTGGTTAGCTTCCTATGCCACAAAGGTAAGGACAAGTGCTGGCTCCAGTGCATTAAGGAGGCAGAGAATTGACCGTGCAGGCAAGGACAAAGTAGATAACAACAATAGAAAGAGGAGTAACTTAAGCAACTAGCTAAGGCTAAATACCATTGGAAGAAGAGGAATCGGCCAGATGAGGGGAGTTTATAATTGGATAACATTATAAATAAATGTAAGGCTTGAATGCAATTTTGATCCCTCTATTAGAATGAAAAATAAAAGAATGTGTGACAGAAGGAGTGAAGAGAAAGAGAGGGAGGCTGTTGTGTCATTGAGAGTATGGGAGAGTCAGAGCTCTCAAATTCCCTAAGCTGTGTAGTTTGTTTTCTCTGCCTCACATTGAGTAGAGACCCCTCAGCGCTCAATAAAGGAAATTCTTTCTTTTCTTTCTTTTGATACCAGTTGATGTATGAAAAAAATGAACACTAAAGCAAAACATGATCCTTACTACAATGTATTAAAAAATAAATATACCTTTAAATCTTCAATTAAAGCTTTGAATTGTTCATTTTCATTCATCAATTTTGCTATTTCATCAGCTTTAGCCTGCGAAGAGAACCAAGAGTAAAAATTGCAATAAGATATACAACACTCTCATGGCTGCAAAAATTGTACATACGAGATAAAGGCTGGGAGCATGGTTAGGCAAGGCATGAAGCTTTTTGAACTTATAGAAACATTAAATAAAAAAAACAAATCAAATTATTTTTCACCATTAATGATTGCAAGTCAGAAGATCTAAGCTTGTTATATATGAAGAAAAGGGGTGCAATGGAGCATGAAAAAAAATTAAAATGAAGTGAATTAGAAACTTAATAATTTTAACATCACAAGGCAATCTTCGCGATCTTAGTTAAATGTACAAGAAACCATGCAAAATACCCCCCTTAGGCCATAACCAATATGAAAAGGACAACTAGGCCAAGAAGAAACTTCTTAATCATAACAAAGCCTGCCAAGAGACCATATGACAACTCATCATAGTTTTCATGCTCAAAATGTAACAAGACACGATATGAACCCTGAATTGACTTGTCGTCTGGGCACTTATAACAAAAAAGATAAATATGCATCACAAAAGCTTTTGTTGCTGAAACCAAAAAGAAAAAGTTTGTGACATATACTTTTCAATCAGTCAATAACAAAGCAAGAAAGCATATTTATGACAAAGTGAATTAGAAACCTTAATAAAGAAGAAATGTACAACAGCAGAGTAAAATGTCTTTCCTAAAATAATAGCTACTTAGAGGCCATGTAAACATAGTTTTCATGCTAAAAAAACAAGATCTGAGCCCTACGTTATTTTCCAGAATGGCCACTTAGAGCAATATTTTTTCCATTAGGATATTTGCAACAAAAATAAATGTGTTCTGAAAAGCTTTTATTTCTTTAAAGAATATGTACATTCTATGAAATACCTGAGCTTGTCTTGCAGCACCTAGTAGTGCTGCCTCCATCATTTTCATCTCCCTTTTCACCCTTTCAAGCTCAAGTATGGAATCTGAGTCATACATAGTTTTTACAGAGCTCAAATGTTGCTCTTTTATGTCAGTTTCAATATTATTGGCAAGATGGCCCCTTTCATTTTCATTAACTGTAGTTTCATTGTCACGTGAAACCAAATCAGATCCAACCTCAGGCGATTCATTTGGAGTAGCACTGGATGGGTGTTCATTAAACGATTGATTGGTGCTGTTGGTTTCTTCAGAAGGCACAGAATGAAGAACAGAAGTGTATGTATCATCTCTTTGCTCATTACTGTCTGATGCCTCAGGTTGAACAGAAGAAATTCTCTCTACACTTTCCTCTGCTTGTACCATCTCTTCTTTACTCTCCTCTTCTGTCTCGACTTCAATAGTCCCATGCACACCACTAGTAGCATGAGACTCGCCAGGATCACTAGTACCACCCTCAACTACATCATCTCCACGATTAGAAACCATGGGTTGCATCATCACTGAACTTTCCAAGGTTCCCACTTCATCAATCTCTTTCTCTTGAGGATTGCTAATAGAATCCGAATTCTCGGACTTTGGAATGGGAGATTCAGGCAATTCAATAAGCATTTCTGGTAACTGGTGTTCGTCCTTTCCGTGGTTCAAAACTTGTACAGTTGTTCCATCCGCTGACTCTACATGCTCACCATCTTCTTCTGCCTCGTGCACTTTATTTTCCTCTGGAATGGTGGTTTCATCAGCTTCCACATTGTCTCTTTTAATGGTGGTTTCTTCAGCTTCCACGTTGTCTCTTTTAATGGTGGTTTCTTCAGCTTCTACATTGTCTCTTTTATCAGTGTCAGAGGCTTCTTTTCCCTCGGCCACAGGAATATGATCCACAGACTCAGGTTTTTCCATTGACGTCTCAGGTTCAGAATCTTGTCGAGAGGATTCAACATTTTCAGATGTTTCTTCACTATCCTCCTCACTTTTATTCCCCATAAAAGCTAAGACAGGATTGAATAGCGCCTTCCCATCGGTAGGTATAGGCCATGATCCTGAATCTGGATACAATGGGCACAACTCTAATCAGTGTAAGAACTAATAACTAATAACTTCCCACCTTAAGAACAAACATCAAATCCAACAATTAAAAATTCCTATCTACGGAAATTAACAAAACTTAAAGCTACTTCAATCCATTCAAACAACAAAGATAAGCAATAGGATCTCAAATCTCAAATAGAAGTTACCTTCATTGCTGGATTCCCCTCCTTTCTCTTCAAAACCAAGAGCATTATCGAAATTCTTCTCAATACTCTTCACACTCTCCTGAAGCTTATTCACCGCTCCCGCCAAATCAGGGAAGTTCCCCCAAGCATTTTTCGCATTAAACCACGCCATCTCAAAACCTAAACACCAAAACAAACTCAAAACTGTCACACATACACTACCAATTCAAAAACACCCTCAGATCACAGAAAATCACCAACACTGTACCAACAGATAAATTTCTAATCAAATGCACCATACAAACCACAGCAAGAGTAATAAACACCAAATGCAATGTAAATCTGAGACCGAAAATTGCTGAAAAGAAAGAGATCAATGCAGAAGGATAAGATCCAAAGTGAAAGACGCTAACCTTAACGAACACGTATGATCTAGAAATTCAGATCATGGTTATTCAAACGGTTGAGCTCGAACTTAATTTATCAAGTTTCACGAACAATTGAATCATTGAAATGGAGAAAATCGTGTTAATTAGAATAATAATTTGATGATTTAGGGTTACGTATGCGGTTTATTTGGAAAGCGGGAATGGAGGTTGGATTTGATGATCTCTGCAAAAAGTATTATTCTGCGAGAGATGGTGGATCTTGTTCATGCGATTACAATTTACAAACGATGCTCTAATTTCTTCCTCACACTTAGGGGACGAGTGCAACGATGTCGTTTTCGATTTTTTGTTTTTCTTATTCTTTTTTGGTGCATTTCTTCTTTTTCTTTCTTAAATATAAATGTTTGTTGTTTGGCATATGTTTTTTTTTACACGCACTAGCATACATATGATATAATAAGGTAAATTTTAATTATAAATTAATGTATTAAAAATCCAACACAGGTTCAACTCTCAAACCGTTTATTAAATAAATTAATAATATAAAATTAAATTTTATAAATATGTCATATATTATTATAGATTTCTAACTTAATAATATAAATAAATATTTTAAAATTTTATTACAAATTTAATACAACAATATTAATAATATATTATATTAACATAGTTTTACACTTCAACCATCATTTAAAATTTTTTGATCAAACTAAAGAATTACAACAAAATAAATTAAACTAATTCGAACCAAATTAAAATAATAAAATATAATAACTAAAATAAAGTTCAAATAATTAAGAATAACTAAATTAAATAAAATAGAATACCAAAATATAAATAATACAATATATTTCATTAAACAACAAAAAAAATTGAATTTGAGTTGAACTACGACAAACAAATCTTAATAGACAACGACAAATAATATTGACTTGAACGACAATCAATAGAGTTGGACAACGTGACTATGTTTGAAAGAGAACAACATAATGATGATAGAGTGTGCTATAATGGAGTGACAATACTTAGAAGTTTGTATGGTTGTAAAAAATACACGAAATTCGTATTTGTGATTGGGGAATGTATGTTAAGTTTTGATATTATCTTATTAAAATTTTAAAAAAAATAATTAAAAACATATGGGCAATTTGATGAATTTTTTTGAATCGGGCGATTTTACAAAACCGACTTTGGTTCTTTGGTTCAATTGATTTTAGATGGTTCAATCCGATTTTTCCGATTTAACTTTGATTTTGACCCACTAGCAGTTTTAAAAGGTTAATTCAACTAAATTTATCTTTAGTTTTTGATCTAATCGATTGAACCGACCGGTTCGGTCTGGCCTTTAGAATATTATTATAAAGGCAACAAAAAAATATTAATGTAGAATAATAAATCAATTTCTTTAATAATTGACTCAATTGAATGTCAAAATTTTAATTGTAAATTGATTTAATCATTTATTCAACTAAAATAATAAAATATAGAAAAAAAAGTAAGTTTATTATATTAATATATAGTAGAAATTTATGATTAAACTCTATGTTTCTTAAAGGTCAAAATTATGACACTAATAAATCATACTAAAAGAAATTTAAGCCATAATTTCTATTAGTTAGAATAATTCTCGTAAAAAAACATTTGTTTGTAGTAATGTAAATTACAATGTATGAATCTACTGAAAAGTATATGCCACTCTTGTTTTTCAAATAAAAACAAAGGTTTATAATGGTTGAAATATGTATTCCTTAGATCGATAATTATTTTTTAATATTGATATGTATTCTTTAGAGTTGATTTCATTGTCTATTTGATTTCTTATATAATTAAGAGATTTTTCACGTAAATTATTCGGTATAAGAAAGTTAAAAGTTAATATTTCATGTTATTCATTATAAAAGTGAGTTATTTTTAAATTGATATCAGAATTTACAATTTATGGATTGGTCAACTTAAAACCCTAGCTATCATAGTTGCATATATGTCGTCGCATATGTAGGTGAAAAAAGTACAAAAAAAATGGATTTTGAATGTTGATCGATTTAACATTTTTACTCGATCGATTACAAATGTTGAAAGTTAATTAGATAAGGAATGAAGGTTAAATTAGGGATGTCAATTTGCATCTGTTAACGAAAATTTCTGTGAGAATTATCTGTTTGGAGCTCCGAAGTCGGTGATTTTGTCCCCCGCGGAGATTGGGATGGAGAAAAAAGTTCTCCCGGTGACACTTTGGTGCGGGGATTGGAGAAGTACTCTGCGTTCTGCGTAATATTTAACTTTATGTTTATATAATATATAATTATATAATTTGGCATGTTTATTTTATAAAAAAATAATTAATATATTAGGAAATAAAGAATCATAAGTGGATTATTTTTTTTTATTGTATAATATATTGGCTCACCATTGAAGTGTCGTAGTTTTGATTTATTATATAATTTGGCATGTTTATTTATTAAAAAATGCAAAATATATGTTTTAAAAAAAGAAGAAAAAAAACTAAACACTAGTGTCATAGTTTTGATATATATATATATATATATATATATATATATATATATATATATATATATATATATATATATATATATATATATATATATATATATATATATTATGATTCGATTTCCGTGGATCTTTGATTCTCTGTGGGGATGGGGATGGGGAAAAATATTCCTCCGTGATGGAGATCGGAGACGGGAATGCGGAAATATTGGGGGCGGGGCAGGGAGCAGAGAAGCATCCTCCGCACATTCCCTGCCCCGTTAACATCCATAGGTTAAAACACAAAATTTATCTCAGTTTACCTCCATTTACTCAAAGTCATGTATAGTCCATAGATTTTCGTTAAACTCATATTACAATATTACTAAGAAATTTTCTAATCCGAATGACATATATCTTATATTCCAATCACAAGGAATTAATGTCAATTAAATTTCTTTATCTTGAAGAAATACAATCTAATAAATAGATAATTGATGGCTTGTTTACAAAATCACTCAAAAATGATTTAAACAGTTAAGAGCATAAATGCACATCTTTAAATCTTTCAACACAAAATGTGTGCAATGAAATCGTTTGTTTTTTTTCTTTCTTTCGGTAGAGTTTATTCTCTAAATATTATTTCCTTTGAAAGTTTTTTTTCTTTTCTTTTCAAGTTAATTTCCAAATATTTTATTTACAATATTATTCATTGAGACAGTGAGAAATTCGATGATTACAATATTGGTGTTCTGGACTGGGTCAAGACCTGCCCCTCAGTCGGGCAGGTCCAACCCAAGGCTATGATGATGAGGCCCAACAAGGCCCAATTTCTTCTGTTGAGCGGGAGCCTCAACAAGGCATATCCATCGGGCAGAAGCCTCAACAAGGCACATCCTTCGGGCAGAAGACCCTTCTGACGGAGAAGCCCACATGCTCCCCCCACATTCTCCACGTGTTCCCCATGCGCAGACACATCATCAAGAAACTACCCACTTCCGAAAGAGATGGTCAGCCCACCTTCTGAAGATCACGAGACAGTTGATCCAGGGTGAAGACCACGTGCTGGTCTTCACTACGCCACGTAAGCCCTGTCAGTTACTTGTGTTGGGCTTGGCAATCCGGTTCAATGCAATGTAATCTTTGGCCCTGCGCTGGGGCACATTATAAATACCCTATTTCGCTAGAGGGTCGGGTACTTTATTCTCCACACCTTCTATCTGTACTTGTTCTCTCTAATTCCGATACTTACTTAAGCATCAGAGCATTTTGCAGGTACACCCCCTTTCTCCTCCACAAATCCGGTGAAGACATCAGATCACGACGCGTGGTAGGTCACTGATTCCTTTCTGATCAGGTGAGATCAATTAGTAAGTTGAACATTTAGACAACAAATTATTTCATATCCTTTGAGCATATAACATGTCTTATTGCACACGATGTTATACCTTTTGTAACATAAAAGTGTGTATTATTGTACTATTTGTATTATTGTTTAGTTGGAACAAATTTGAATGTTGCAAGAGAATACAACTTAGTTATTCTTTTCTAGAATAAACTCCATTGACAGTGGGAAAATATCAAACTAATAAAAGGTAGCAACCTGATCCTCTTCAAATGGATCAAAGTGTTGATTTTAAGATTATAGTTGACTAGATGAACCAGATGATGATATGATGACAATATAATGGCAAATCAATCATATGTAACACCTTTTTCTATCCCACAAATATAATGGAAAATCAATCATATTTATCAGAGTAAAATATTGAACGCAATAAAATTATCTCAAAAGGGCGCATATTTCTCAATAATTCAAATATAGTCAATGCTCCGTAAACAACGGGGTTTCCCAAAATTACGCAAAATTATTACTCAAAAGGCAGCGGAACTCAAAAAGGCAAAAATCCAAAGTTTTCTTTTCACCGCAAGGAAATCAACATAACTATTAGTACCATGGTTCTATGGTTCTAGGATTGGCTAAATTTTGGTAAAACATGATCCTGCATTGATGTTAAGCAGGATATTATGACATCTCCATCTGCTGTGGTGAAAGAACTGTTGTGGAGAGTTTTAAGGTGAATGTCATGCTGAATATCGTATGACATCCATCACGACATCCATCTGTTGTCATGACAGAGCTACTGTCATGTGTGAGAAACAACAGGAGTAGTGGTATAGCAGGGGAGTATGACTCAGAACACTGCTACTGATGCAGCAGGAGCTAGCATGAGCTGGTGAAGAACTGTTGTTATGCTATCATGTGTTGTAAACAGGATGTCATTACATTTGGTGC